TCTATATTTGAAGAATTTTTTTCCTTTCCATTTTTTTCTTTCCAATTTTTTTTCTTTCCAAAATTGTGGTGGGGTGCCTGGGTGGCTCAGATTGTTAAGCGTCTGCCTTCTGCTCAGGTCATGATCTCAGGGTGCTGGGATCGAGTCCCACTACGGACTCCACGCTCAGCAGGGAGTCTGCCTCTCCCTCTGCTTCTCCCCCTGCTTGTGCTCTCTGTCTCTCTGTCTCTCTGTCAAATAAATAAATAAAAGCTTAAAATAAATAAATAAATAAATAAATAAATAAATAAATAAGTAAATAGTGGCAAAATACACATAACATAAAATTTATCATCTTAACCATTTAAAAATATTTTATTTATTTGAAAGAGAGAGCAAGAGTGAGCTGGAGGAGGTGCAGGGGGAGAAGGGAGAGAGAGAATCTCAAGTAGACTGCACGCTGAGCACAGAACCCGATGAGGGGCTTGATCCCACAACCCTGAGATCATGACCTGAGTCGAAATCAAGAGTTGGCCACTTAACTGACTGAGCCCCCCAGGCACCCCCCATCTTAACCATTTGTAAGCATACAGCTCAGTGACATTAAGTACATCTTTATTGTTCAGCCATCACCATCATCCTTCTCCAGAACATTTTTCATCTTCCCAGACAGAAACTCTGTGCCAGTTAAATACTAACTCCACACCCCGCTTTCCCCAGTCCATGGTAGCCTCTCTTCAGCCTTCTGTCTCTATGAATTTGACTACTCTAGAGACTGCATGTAAATGGAATCATACAGTATTTGTCTCTTTGTGACTGGCTTATCTCACTCAGCATCATGTCTTGAAGTTTTCTTTTTATTGCATTTCCCACTTGTTTAATTTTAATGTGCCTGACACAGGGTTGTATGTGTGGGTTAGACTGAGCCAGTCAGATCAGTGGCCTGAGGTGGGGACCAGAGTTAGGGGCCAGGTAGCATCCTCCTAGTATTGCAGGGTCTGGGGAAGAAACCTGTCCTGGTCCTAGCCCCAGTCCTTCCCCAACAAAGCTGCAGCCCAACCCAGACTTTGATGTAACCTCAGCCCGGCCCCAGTGTCACCCTAACTTGTCCTCCTCAAGCTTCCCTGGACCCACAAGGCCATTTACAGGAGCCGGGATTCCAGGTCATCTGGTGACATCTCCAGGATCTGCTAGGGGTGGGGTGGGGGCAGTGGATTCATCCAGGCCCTGGACCTTGACTGCCTGTCCAGCAGTTTCTTTCTGCTCGAGTCTTTGCTCATTCTCTCAAGACCACGAGAGGGCGACCGTGCTCCATCTTCTGCAAAGAAACAGCCGCTCCCAAGGAGGAGCCAGGAAAACCCTCTTCTCTGGACCCCAGGACTTCCAGGTTCACGGCCTGGAAGGTGAGAATAAGGAAGAGCTCGTTGTTCCAAGGGGATGGGGCCCTCCCAAGGCCAAGCTGCTCCTGACCCCTGCGCAGGCTACTCCATTGCTCTGAGCCCTAGCAGGAGCCTTCTTATCCGGAGCTTGGGAAGCCTGGCCTGTGGGAGGAAACCTGCCTAGGAGCCAACTAGCCAGCAGAGTCCTGGGATCCTCTTGGAGGAAGAGAGGCTGGTTGTAGCAGAAGGAAAAGTCTCCTGGGGACCTCTGTCTGGGCCCTGGTCTGTTCTTCCAGCAGGCTGCCCTGCGTCCTCTGTGCTGGGGCAGCTCCCTTCTGCAGAGCATGCTTGGGCCAGTCTCTGCTAGACGTCTGCTGTCCACCCTCCAAGGCCCAGCTCTTGTGTGACTTGCTCAGGGAAACCTCGACCTGTACCCAGGCCTCTGTTAAGAACACCACCAGCTGAAACCCCCCTCCCCATCCTTTCTCCCGAAAGGGTGGAAAGACAGGAAAACTAGCCCAGGAAGGAAGGTCCTGGAGTCAAATCTGGACAGCTCTAGAACTACCTGGAACTACCTCTCAGAGGGGGCAGAGGCTGAAGGGAGACTAGAATTGCTCAGAATAACGGAGAGTGTTCTGGATTTTTTGTAGGTGCGGGGTGGTACCAGAAAGGGAGAAGAACACTAGCTAGCAAGGAGACTAGATGGGGAAGGCCAGAGACATCTCACTGGGAAATTTCTTTCACTTCTGTCCTGTGCTGGCAATGGGCATCTTCTATCTCCGCCCCTACCCCCCTCCCCGCTCCATCCGTCCTTGGTGGGGCAGATCTCCCTGGGGGACGTGGAGGTGGGCATGGCCAGTGCTGAAGCTGTGAGCAAGGCCAGGCTGTAGGCAGCTCCCTGCTCAGTTGAGCTGGGGGAAGGCCTGGCCCTTCCCACGCCCCTCCTGGAATGTAGGGCTGCTCCTGGGAGTTGAGCAAAAGTGTGACTTTCCCTCTGGAGTCTGAGGTCAATCAGCCTCCCAGGCCTGGTCCAGCATTCTTGATGGGGAGCCAAAACAAGCAAGGGGCGAGGGGCCGGGGCAGACTCAGGGGCCTGGCAAGCCCCCGCCATTTGATTGCCCCTTGCTTTCATTCCTTGTGGGGAGGAGGTGTGTTAATGCCAGAAATTCCACCCTGGGGGGAGGGGATGTAAATACCAAGGCTCTCCTATTTGGTAGACCCTGTGCTGGTCACCTGTAGATGCTGCTAACAGTGTCACAGGGCCAACTCCTGAGGCAGTACAGAGCCTGAAGGAAGGCCCAGGGGACCGTGGAAGACAGGCCCAGCTGGGATGGGGGGGGTGGGTAGTGGGACAAGGGAGGGAAGTGATATAGCACAGCCTATAATACTGGTAAAAAGAATAAACACCGTTACTGAGCACCTCCTGAATGCCAGCCACTTCCTGACTCAGTTGGTTCATCTTGACACAAAAGGGGGCTGAGACCTCAAAGATCCAGAAACTGAGGCTTAAAAGGGTCAGTAACTTGTCTAAGGTCCCACAGCAGAGGCAGGCCTGGCCCCCAGGCTCATCTGTCTTCTCTGCTATGCTCTCATCACCCCCTCACCTCTGCCACCCACCTCCCCGCTAGGCACCAACATGCTGGGAACAGCTGCTCCAAGCTGCGAAGCCAGGATGCAGACTCCCCTGGGCAAAGGTCCCCAGGAGACATTTTCTTTCTGCTACAATCGGCCTCCCCTCCTCCCCCTGCAGGCTTGAGGGAATGGTCCTACAGGCCCCACCTAGAAGCAGGGTAGTGAGGCATAGAGAAGGGGGCTTCCCATTGTACAACTCCAGAGGCCATATCCATGCAAGCTTCAGGATGAACAGCACCCCCGGGGGCCACTTGGGGAGGCCAAGTGCCCCTGCTTGTTGGGGAAGAGTGTGGATGTGAACTCAGGTCAGTTCTGCGGACTCCTAAGCAGGCCCTTTGGACTCCTGGGAGGATGGCTCAAGCCTTTCCTGGGCAGCTGGGGGGAGGCAGGTGAGGGCAGTCTGAGGAGCTCTACTCAGGGAGAAAGGTTACACCTGGGCAGGCCAAGCCAGGAGGGGAGGGGGCTGAGGAAAGCTGACTGGCTGCCCCAGGCACTTTGTGTTGATGCAGCTGCCCCTGGGCTTCTGGAAGCTTCCCCTGGGTGCATTTAACAACCAAGGCGGGGGCTCTGTTCCCACTGTGGATGCCTGGAATATTCGTGTTTTCCACATCCCTGTGTGGGAGCCAAAACCAGCTTCCAGGAGCCAGGAGAATTGAGCCTGAAGGGAGAGGGGAAGATTCTCTGGCCCTGGAACTGGCCTTTGTGTAAGTAAGGGACCCAGCTAGGCAGATTTCTCTCTTTGTCCTTCTATGTGCACAGCCTGGTTCTCTCCCCTCCTTGCCCCACATTTCTTCTCTTTTCTCCTCCCCCTCCTCTTGCTCATTTCCCCCAACCCCCTTCTGATAATTTACCCACAGACAAACTGTAATGCTGTGGAGTCAGACCTGGTTCAGATTCCGGCTCCACAGCTCACAGCTGTGTGATTTGGGGCAGGTCATCGCCCTCTCTGAGCCTCTCTTCCCTTGTCTGTAAAATGGGACTATAATATCTATCTGACAGACTCTTGGTGGGGTCAGTGAAATCACAAGTACGTATGTTCCGGGACCATTTGCCCTTGAAAACCACTGGGTCTACATCCTGGGAACTACTTTGGTCTTTGAGAGGCCATATGGAATGGCATAAAGTTACTTAATCTGAGTCTTGGTTTTCCCTCGTATAAAATGGAAGTAATGATGGGACCTACTTCAAAGAGCTACAGTGGGGAGTCAGAGATGTCATGGATGTCCTTAGCACATGGTAAGTGTTCAGTAGGTGATTTGTTATTATCTTTGCGGAGGATTGTTTGTCCTGCAGGAACCCGGGGAATGAGGGAAAGAGAAGTCTCCATATAGAACTCCTCTGAGGCTAGCTGTGCTTCCAGCACTGGGGTGGTGAGGGTCGGGGCACAGGCTTTGTACATTGAAGCCCTAGAATAGAAATATGATGTACCAGGAAGCATGACCCAGGCATTAGTGAAAGCCTGAACAGCCCGGAGAAAGAAGGATGTTTAAATTATATCACCAAATGATCTATAGTCTTTATGCCTTGAATCCAATCTGTCCTAGCAGCCTCAGGACCACACTGGTCTGAACGTGTCTGTTTATGAGTCTGCCTTCCCCTCTAGATTGGTTGGTCCTTGAGGGCAAGGGCCATGTCATCCTTGGTTTCGTGTCAAGTGTGGGTATGTGACAGAAATTGATTTAGAGATTGGGCTTTTGATCCAAGGGGTCAAAAGACAGATGCCCTGGGACTTTTCCTGAAAGGTTTCTAAAGGGTCACTAAGCTGGTATGATATGAGTGAGGAGCCACTGGGGACCATCTTGGTTACCACAAAGGGAGAGCCTGCCTGAGAGTGATGTCAACCCAGAGGAAAGCAGAACTGAGACAGAGGCAGACGCCTGATGACATCATGTGAGCACCTGGATCCAGCCATTCCTGAAGCAAGGGTTGACCAGTTTAGTTGTGTGAGTTGTTTCTTAAGTTGTTTTTCTTGAGTTGGGTTTCAGTCTCTTAAAACCCAAGGAGTCTAGATTAGTATGGTCTTTCCCCACCTTTATTTAAAAAAGAAAAAGTCTTGATTATCATAAGATAGCTATGAAAATGTCCCCTGGCCTAGTAGAGGTAAGTGATATCTTTCAGAGGCACATTTTGCCTTAGCTCTGAAACAGGTACATCTAGGGTCTAATCCTTCTTCTACCTTGAAGGGACCCTGGCTCCCTTACCTGTAAAATAAGACCAACATTGTTGTGAAGAATCATCAAGAGAAGTAGGAAAATCATGGTTTCTTTAGCTTCATAAATGCAACTTCATTTCTCTTAGCCCATTGCTCCCCAAACTCAGTGTCACCAAACCAGGCTATTTCAGCAAGCCAGGAAAAACAGGCCTGAGCAGCTCCACCTTCTCCCTTCGCCTGCTACTCCTGATACCATGCAAGGCTCCACCCCCAGAAATCTGGGTCCTAAAGCCTGGTCTGGAGGAAGCCCAACCAAACTGGTCAGCCTGGCCTGGTCTCCACTGGAAGCTTGCAGGCCTTTATCTCCACCGTGACTAAATTTGGATCTCAAACTCAGACAATCAGCCTGGGAATTCCTGACGAATTCCAGCAAGCGTTAGCTGTTTTCATTGGTTTTTACAGAGACGGGAGATATTTTTTCCAAGTAACAAGTTTAAAAGCAATAATTTGTCATTAGAGAAAATTTAGAAAACGGGGAAAAGTCCAATAATACCATTATCCTGACACAGCCCCCATGGAGATTTTTGCTTCTTTCCTGTTGGTTATTCCAACACAGTCTTGTTTGGAGGCTGTTGTTTATTCGTTTGCTTGCTTGCTTGTTTTTACATCCACGAGATCAGAGTGTCTGTGCAGTTTTATATCTTAATTTTCCCACCATGTTTTGACATAAACATGTTCCCAGGTTACAAACTCTTTGCTGAGTGCCAGACGCAGTGCCTAGCACGTCACCAGCATGATCTCGATAATGCTCACACCCATCCTAAAATCAAGAAACCTTACGATTCTTGCTTTGCAGATGAGCAAACTGAGGCACAAAGAGGTTAAGTGTCTCTTCCAGTCATGGTGAGGACCGGGCTGTGGCTTCACGGGCCATACTATTAACTAGGTATACATCTGTATCACAGTTCGTTCAACCTTTCTTAGAGAGCTAGAGATGCGCATTGCTCCTGCCTGCCCAGCACTAGTTCTTCACTGGAGACTGCGATTTCCTACTCTCAGTTCTAGGAGAGCAGCTATTGGGTGGAGTTGAGCGCCTATGCTGAGTCTGGCCAATCAGAGGCCCGTATCTCCTTGGTCTCTGCGATTGGCTCAGGAAGGGACACGTGATCCAGGTGGGCCCACACAGGGAGGCTGTTGGCTGCGCCTGCGTTGTGCTGTGGCCAATTGTCTTCAGAACCTGCCTGGGAATGGGTCGCTGCAAAGGAGGGAAGAGCGAGAAGCGGGGGAGACCAAGTCCTGTTGCAGCATTTCAGATTCTGGATCCAGTTGCACCTGAAGTGGGTTCTTGGGTTCATGATACTGGACTTTGCAGTTAGCTGAGCTTTTAAATCCCCTTAAACCAGTTTGAGTTTGGTTTCTGTCACTTGAAACCGAGAGTTCTGGCAAGTTCACCATTGCTGTTGGACGTTAGGGTGGCTTATACAATTTTTCTTTACCATTATAAATAATGCTGCAATGCACATCTTTACATATAGAGCTTATCCTTGATTAGAACTATTTCCTTGTGATATTCTCACAAAAGTTACTTGGCAAAAGGATCAAACATTATCAGGATTCTGTGGACATTTTGCAAATCGTTCCCTCAAGGTCGGCAATGTTTTGTATCCCTCACCTTCACTCCCCAACAGTATGTGCAACTGCGATTTTTAAAATTGAGTTCTGAAGAAGCTTTCTTTTTTAACAAGCCAAAGTTGTATTTGTTTTTTAAACAGAAAAATTATGTTAATATAAAACAGATAAAAATAGACAAAAACCAAAACACACAACACACAAAAGCACAACACACAGGACCAGTGCAAACCCTTTCCAACCCACTCCCCCCAAGTTTTAAAACCTTTATTACAGATCCCCAAAGATTAGATTGTATTGGAGAAGTCACAGTATTGAATCAGAAAAATAAGAAAAGAGACATTTTTAAAAAGGTCTGTATACAGGTAGTGGGGGGATGGGATGAGAGAGTACACTTCATCACTCCTACATCAAAAACATAATGCAGAAGGGTTTCAGTGATGAGCACGTATTTCTAGAATACTACTATGTATGCTAGTCCCCTGCCCACTTTCTAAAGTTGCTTTTAAAAAGGATAAAAAGTGCACAGACACTTTCATAAGGCACAGACAGATTGGTGTACAAGTCATTTCATTAGGGGCTTGGGGAAGACAATTAAATACCAAGAAATGCCACATGTTCCTGAGCAGGCATCCCTCTGCCAGAACTGGGGCAGGGATGGGATTGGGCAGGGAGAGGTTACTGCCTCTCGTTCTCCAAGACTTTGCACAAGCCCATTCTCAACTGGAACTGATGGGGCTCTCTGGGGACCTAGGTATTGATTCCAGCAACCACTCCCAAGCCTGAAAGAAGCAGGTAGCCGTCTCCCCACGGGTCTCCCTGGTGGGACCTGAGGGTAATCATCCAGCGGTGGGGCCCTTGAGGGTTCTGCCCAAGGCCATTTTGGCAGCAGCTCACTGACTACAAAATATCTGGCATTTCTAACGCAGAGGAGGCTTCTCAAAGCAGGCAGGAGGCTCTGGGTCAGGAAAGCAGTCATGGGCACTCACCAGAATAGATCCCCAAAGGCAACAGAATGGCCAAGAAAGCCCAAAGTATTCTGTCCCTAGCATCTCATTATCCTCTAATGTCTCTACCTCTGAAGGCAGAGCTAGGGTGCTGTCCTCTCTGCTCCGCATTCCCAGCACCCCATACCTAGTAGGCACGCAGCAGATGCTTGTTGAATGACTTTGTGTGCATGTATATGTGTTTTACCAAACCCCTGAGCCCTCGTAACTTGATTTCGGATTTCTCCCGTAAACCTTTAATGAGTGCCTACTATGTGCTAGCACAGGACCCAACGCTGGAGGGAGCAAATAAAAGTTTACAAATCCGTCCAGCTCCGGACTGTCTGCTCCCTGCGGCTCTGTCTTTAGGCCCAGTTCCCAACACTGTGTGCAGAACCCAGGCCATGCTGATGAGCGGGTGTTTAGCAAAATGTTACCGCACATAGAGGGGCAGCTGCCCTGGGCAGCTAAACCCCAGCAGCCTCCCAGTTCTGGGAATGGACTAGGAAAAGGGGCTTGTGTTGACTTGGAAACAGCCCAATTTCTCTGGTGGTTCAAAATAAGCAGGCACAAGACCACAACAAGGGAGTATCTTCTGGTCACCCCCTTCTTAGCCCTAGCGTCCCTGCCTGAGCGAGTGGCAGTGTTGAGGCCCAGGAAGGTGGTGGGACAACGCCCTCAGCCCCTCCACGAAGTTGTCCCGTATGTGCACCCCTGTGTCACCAAAGGAGGCCTTCAGGTTGGACTCAGGATCTCACATAGCTCAGCTCTGCCAGGAGAAGGCAGGCAGCGGGAAGGTGAGCCTGAAAGGAAGGACACTTGTCCTTCTAGGGTATGGGTGGCAGAGGGACCACAGCCTGGGGCTGGAAGCCTCCATACAGGCGCCGGTGCCCAGGCTCTCTCCAGGGGCTGCCCAGAGAAGTTTCAAGAAAGAAAACTCAAGGCAGTCTCAAGCTTTCCGGGGCTTGGGGCCAGGCAGCGGAGAGAGTGGGATTCAGCACCAGACACTCCTGGGTTTGAATCCCAGCCCTACCACCTACTGCATGTGATCCTATCACTTCACTCACAGGACCTCAGTTCTCTTACCTGTCAAACGGGAATAATACCGTGTTTTGTCAATTCTAAATAGCACAGCTTTTTTTTTTTTTTTTTTCACATTTCAAGTCTCTGATTAGAATGAATCATATAGCTGTGGTATCTTACAGTTAAAATTCGCATTTTTTCCCTTAGCGGTACATAAAATGGTGTATTTTACAATCAGTGGTGTTTTAGATGTGACTCAGTGGGGTAAGACCTGCCTCCCAGGATTAATGCGTGGAGACGCCTCTCCAGCCCAGCGCCGAGGCACATAATGACGTGAAGTGAAAGAGAGGGGTTCCCTTTCCTCTTTCTCCCGCCATGTGAGGGCCATGTGAGCAGCTCCTCTATAGCACTGAATAAATCAGTTTAGAGCATCAGGAAATGTCTGGTTTTTAGAAGACAAACACCCCCTTAATTCCTCTTGGAAACAGGGAGGCTATTTATAGCAGCTGCGGAGCAAGTTAAACAGGCCACCAGCTCCTTTTGATCCAGGTAACAGGTCACCAGGAGCATGGCCCGGTCCACGTCAGGTCCAGGCCCTCAGTCACTGGTTTCCTGGTGGTGACTGTACATGACCCTGGCTGGAACCCAGGGGTGGGGGCAGTTAGGAAGAGCAAGAGGCAGGGGAGACCAGCTGCCTCCTGCTGGCTTCAAGGACCACCAGAGCTTGTGACTGGCTCAATCCGGTCAGTGGGCACTGCTGCCTGGAGAACCAGCTCTGGTGGGGAGGAGGTCACGAGTCCTTTCCCACATGGTCTGGGCCCATACATGGGGAAATTGGAAGGCTCCTGCTGGCCAAATGCAGCTGGGCACTGAGTGCTACCCAGCGTCTCCGGCTCTTGTCCTCCCCAAAAACTTCCGTCACAAGATTTAAAGGTGGGCATGTTTCCCAGATTCACTAGGGGGACAAAAACCAATCAGGGGTTCTTGCAGGGGCAAGAGTGGGGGTTCTGAAGTTGAGATCAGGTCGGAACACTATGACCACTCCAGGCAGAGAAGAAGCAGTTGGTCCAAGACCTAGAACATTACAAAGACCACCTGGTCTTACAGGCTTTGATTTGATGAGGGCCCAGCTGAGCTGGGCTCTGGGCCCCCAGACACCCAGCACACGTGTTCTATGAATGCAGAAACTCTCTGAATGTTCTCCTTTCTCTGCCATCATCTGTGCAGCAGAGGAACAGATTAGGAATTGTAGTAAAAGTGTTACCTGTTCTTTGTAGGGTGTCTTGGGCTTTTTAGATGTTATGCTGGTTCCCTCGTGGGTTCTGGAGTAGGAAGGACAGATTGAGAACTGAGAATCAGAGAGGCCCAGGGGCTTCCTTAAAAGTACAGCACAAGATAGGGCAGAGGTTAGGCCCTGAACTGGGGGCAGAGCGGGCCTGGGCCAGCCTATCAGCCCAGGGGTGGTCTGGGAGTCTGCAGACATGGGCCTCGGCAGGGGTGTGGAAGTCGGGGACAGGGCCAGGTCCCAGGAAATGCCTGTAAATGGCCCTGGGAAGGGGGAGAGTCCCAAGGTCAGCGTTTTAATGTCTCAGCTCTTAACATCTTAATGATCATTTAACATCTTAGTAATCAGCAGCGTAAGGGAAGCTGAGAATCAGAACCAGTTGCAAAGTCTTTTCCTCCTACCACTTCCCCAGCAGGCTGTCCTGGTGATGCCCACCGCTGCTGGTGAATGCCAGGCCCGGGCTGACAACACAAAATGTGAAGAGCCGTCTGCGTGATGGGGTGGCCTTTCCAACTGCAGGTGAGTCACCTGCCTCCAGGATTCTTTCTCTCCTCCAGGAAAAGAGAACCTGCTGCTTGCCTTCTTCTTGGGGACAGCAAGGGATGGGACAGACGAAAAGCATCTAGAGGGACCGAGTCAAGGTGCACTATGCTTATTATTAGGCTATCTGAGTTGAAGGGGTGAAAAGGCTTCTGGGGATGACACCACCCAGAGCTCTCGGTGGGCCGCAGCACCCATCAAAACTCCTCTCTAGGACTGAGGAAGAAACTAAAAAAGCAAATTGTTCTTTTCTGTTCTCCACCCACCTTCCCCCCAAGGCGTTGCTGCTTTGGAGCTGTAAACAATGAGCTATTTTTTCCTTCCCTTACAAAATCTGAGTGTCCCTTTTCTATACCATCCAAGGGAGTTCTGTTTAGGTGCAGGCTTCATACATTCAAAACCAGCTGACGTTACAGCCCCAGAGAGTGAACAATTTCTAGTCACGCTACCGTCTGGGCTCTGGATTACACATTCCTTAGTGTTAAATAACCTCCCAGAGCCAGGATCCCTGGATAAATACCTATGCGTTCTCTCTCACTCGTTCTCTCACACACATTCTCTCTCTCTTCTCTGGCCACTCCCTCCCCTCACCCTCTCTCACACACACTCAACCCAACTCCAGCAAAAAGCATTGCACAGGGAATGCTGTTTCCCAGCCGAGAGGTCACCGAGGGACAGGGTGGTCTGCTAGGCAGTTCCTGAGCTTGCTTTTGGGACGGCCTTTTGGGGGCAAAGCACTTTTGAGCCAGAAGCAGCCCTTGCCTGGGCTCAGACCCCCAGGGCCTCATCTCCATGACTGTCACGCCTTGCCCACCATTGGAGAGTGGCAGATGGGATGGCCACTGCCCTTGGACTCCCTGGTGGCCATAGCAGTTGCCTGGCTCAGGGGGCCTTCAGAAAGGTGACCTTGCTCTGGCCAAGGCCCATTGGTGGGCCAGGCTACGGCCTGTAGATCTTAATGACATCCTTGATGGGTCGCCGGCAGATGGGGCAGCAGGCGCGGGCCTGCCTCTTGAGCCGTAGGCCACAGCTGTGGCACAGACACATATGTCCACACGTGTAGATGACTGTGTCCACTTCCCCGTCAAAGCACACCGTGCACTCGCCATTCTTGCTGCCTGCCGGCTCCGGTGGGGAGAACACAGGGGACACTGGGGGACTCAGCGGGGAGCTGGGTGCGGTCACTGCAGAAAGGGAGAACAAGACAGACCTTAATAATGTGGTTTTCACGTGGGTTCTGCTGGGGCAACCCCAAGAAGGCAGAGCTTCTATGGCCGAACTTGTGGGGAAGCAATTTTGAGAGACACCAATTTGGGGTTTTTCTCCTGGGCTTTGCCCCCTTCCCTACTCTCCCTCCCCCAAGCATCAAGCACCATGATCACCCTTTGGGATACGACATGGAGATTTCTCTTCCCTCTAGATGACTGTACAGCCGAGGAAGGAGAAGATGCAGGCGGAAAAGGTGGCCATCCTTGCTTAGCCTCAGGAAGGCTCTGGCGCAGCTGAAGGAGCCAGGCCAGCCACCAGCCCCTACCCCCTCTAGGGTTTATACCTCCTTACCCAGGGATGACTCAGATGCTGAGGAGGACTGGTTGACACTGAAGGCCATATCAGAATCGCTATCATCCTGGGAGCCGCTGAGGGACCCTGATGGGGACGTGGTCGCAGGGCTGGACTGCAAGGTGCCTGAAACCAGAGAGACTCCATCAGGGGTGGTAGAAGGTGAGTCCTGTTCTGCTAGTCCCTGGCTCTTCGCTCTTTTGCACCTTAGCTTCCCCATCTGTCTAATGGGGGGATAAGAGTTACCTCCCAGGTTTCTGCTAAGGATTGATGGAATTGTACATGTGTGGTGGACACCTATTCTTTGCCTGCTCGGCCTCCAGTCTTGTTTATTTCAGAAACAGTACCAGGATTTTTTGTTGGGGCACTTACTTTACCCTCACTCACATGATCCAGGCCAGGCCAAGAAGAACTTCCACCCCTTGGTCTCAATGATGGTTTAGGTAAGGCTACATAACCCAGTGAAGGTCAAAGAGGTCTTCATGAGAACACTACAACTGTTGGGAAAGAAGGGGCGCATCCATTGGGAGGTAGGTCTGGCACTATAGAGCCTGCCTGAGAGTGAAGCCAACATAGGGGAAAGTGAGCTTTGGGATGGGATCCTGAGGACATGCTTTTAAAACCTCGATCCGTCTGTTCCTAAATCCATCCAATATACTCCCAGACTTTTGAGGTATGTGTACCCATACATTTCCCTTTCAGTTTAGGGCACTTTGGGGTTTTGTCACTTGCAACTACAAGATTCCTGACTAGTAGTAGTCAACACGAATGAGTTTTCTCCCTTATGTTCACTGCTGGTTCAGATAATAATGGGTTATTTCTTAGGTGAGAGAGATGTTCCTTCCCTTACCCTACTTGAGGATGGATGGACAGATAATGCAGTGCTAGGATTGCTGACAGGTAGAAATCAGGAGGGCAAGTCCCTGGCCTCCAAAAGAAGTCACTTCTATTCTACCTTCTCTTCCTGACCACTCAAGGACTCATCCTGGTTCCTCTGGAGGTGCTGGGGAGGAGGGTAAGGAAGACTGATTCTAGGCTTAGTTCTTCCCAAAGCTCCAGTGGGGAACTTAGGCAACTCATCTCAGGGTAAATGGTGACTATGTCTGGTCATTCCTTAAAAACAAAAACAAAAAAAAACAAACGATACCACCGCTTCCTTGTTCCTCCTCTGCCTGCAAACAGCAGTCATTGTTGTTACTACGTATTAAACATGCTAAAGGTGGCAGGCACCTGCTAAAAGCATTATATGCACCTCATCATTTCATCCTCATGACAATGCCAGGATGCAGGTAATTGCTCCCTCTGTACACAAAAGGAATCCAAGGCTCAGAGAAGGTCTGTGATTTGCCCAACATCTTCATGGCTGACCAGCTATGTGACTGGGACAGTCAGTTAATCTCTATGTACTTCAATTTTTTTATCTGTGGATGGATTAATGATTTCGGTTTCATAGAGGCATCAGGAGTATAAAATTGAATGAGATAACAGGAAATGTTCATTCTTTCTGTTACCATTTGGACTGCCTTCTTGAATCATGAAAATGGAGCTGTGCTCTCTGGGAACCTTCCCTGACCACCACCTCCATTCTACCAAATGGGAGAGAAGCCCCTCTGCAGTGGCCCACATCACATGGTGCAGCTCTCCATTCAGGTGTGTAAGTTCCTGCTGGGCATGGCCTATGTCCTGTCCTCTACCATGCTCCATCCTGGAGCCCAGGGCCTGGCCCACAGCTGGTGGGTGCTCCGTGTCTATTGGTGGCATGAATGAAGGCAAAATCATGTCAAAATAAGATGGTTCAAGCCTCCATCCCATTTTCTGTGGATGCTGTTATTCTGATGTCCTCTTTTAAGTGTAGCTGTGTTTACTTTTTCTCCTACAACTTAATATGCCTCATGTATATAAAAAATAAGTCATAACAGAAATAAAAATTGCACTGACCATTTACCGACTGCATAAAGCCTTCCAGGCCCTGACCCCAGTGGGAACTTAGGTCCTCGTTGGCAAAGTGTGGGCTTGGGAGCAGCAACATGGACATCCCTGGGACACTTGTTAGAACTGTATTTCGGGGCCGCCCCTACTAAATCAGAAACTCTAGGTGGAGGCGGAAGGGCGCTAATACGCGCTCAAGCCTGGGAAGCGGGCCTGGACTTCAGCGGTGCGACTCGAGCCACCCAGCGGCGGCCTGGCGCACGCGCGGTCGGTCGGGGAACTCACCGAGGAGGCGCAGCTGGCCGGCGGCGCCACCGCGCACGGCGAAGAAGGCCCAGAGCGCCTGCGTGGTGTCGACGCACAGCAGGCGGCCGCGCGGGCGCCCGTTGACGCCTAGGAGCACGTCGCCGCCGGGCCGCAGCGTGAAGCTGAGTGCGTCGCCGCCGCTCGGCACGGGCCCGGCACGCGCAACCACCCAGTACTCCTTGCGGTCGAGCAGCGCGTCGGGGTCGGCCGGCAGCTCCGCGGGTCGGAGCCCGCCCGGGTCGCACGAAGTGATGCCGAAGGCCAGCGCGCTGGGCGCCGCCAGCCCCGGGCGGCCCACCTCCACGAAGAGGCTTTCGCCGGGTCGCAGCGGGCGTTCGGAGAAGACAAGCGTGCGGCCGCCGTCGGGCCGCGGCGCGCAGGCCACTTTGCGGTCGGCGGACAGGCTCACGTCGGGTCCACGCGTCGCGTGGAAGCGCAGGTCAGCCTCGAGCAGCGCCGGCGACGATGCGGGCCGCGGGCGCTCGCGAGGCCCGCACGGGATGGCGGCGGCCGAGGCGTCGGCGGGCAGCGGGCCCGGGGCGCGGCTCAGCGCCAGGTGACCCAGCTTGGCCACCACCTGGTTGTTCTCGAGCTCATTGTTGTCGAAGTTGGCGGCGTCGTGGCTGCTAGGCGGCAGGCAGGCGCTGAAGCGGGCCTGGCTGAGGCGCGCGGGCGTCAGCGTGTCGGCGAATGCGCTCTCTGCGCCAGGGCAGAAGGGGGGCCGTGAGGGTGCGGGCCGCCGGCGGGGAGCCCCCGACACCCGCGGCCTCGGTCCCCCCACTCTCCCCCGCCCCCTCCCCACAGCCCCTCACTTTTTCTAGTTCACGTGTGTATTGATTCAAGAACCACAGGTGCACAGAATCTGAATAAGCACAATCCTGCTGGGCATGGCCTATGTCCTGTCCTCTACCATGCTCCATCCTGGAGCCACTTCTCTTTGGGATGGGCGGATAAGGCCCTTCCTCCGTTTTTCCTTCCTTCTTCCCTCCCTCCCTCCTTCCTTCCTCCCTCCCTCCCCTCCCTCCCTTCCTTCAGCCTTCCTCCCTCCTTCTTCCTTCCCCCACTCCAGAGGTTTTCTCATACTTTGGAAGATTTGAAAACCCTTTATTGTTGGCCTCCCCAACTAGAACATAAGCTCCAATAAGTGAATCCTTCTGCTCTTTATTTGTGGCCTTATATGACAGGCGCTATTTTAAGCTCCCTTCGCGTGTTATCTGAGTCCTCACACAACCTGTGAGGTGTGTTCTGTTATTACCAGCCATTTAACAAAGAAGGGAGGTGAGGCACAGAGGGGTTAAAGAATTCGACCAAGGTCACACACAAACTGGCAAAGCCACAACAAGAACCCAGGCTCTTCAACATGTGCTGAATCTGAAAGAACAGAGCCCAGTGCTGCACAAACATTGAATATGTTCGCTTTCTGCAAGAGATGGCCTCATTTTATAGGACAGAAAACTAAGTTTTAAGTCACCGTCATGAAAATATTTTTGAATAATTTTTAGTGGGATGGAAACATGTTCTTGATACTACATATTATATAGTTAAGTAAAAAAACAAAATAGTGTTTCATTTAGGTAATACAGGTCTTCATACTTTGGTAGATTACTTGTCGATTGTCTCCCCAACTAGAATGTGAGTCCTTGCCTGTCTGTTCACCACCACCTTCTCAGGGCTTAGCAGGGTTCTGGGCAAAGAACCTTCATTCTTTATTGTATGAATAAATGAATGAATGAGGTTTCTAGAAGACTGCCACTCTGAGTAACAAATCAGGGAAAGAAAGAAACAGTCACTAAAGTATTGTGAAGTTTTTTTAGTGATAAAAATATTCTCATTAATCATAATAAGTAAAGCAAGAAAAAGTGTTTTTCAAACTTCTCTAACTAGACTCCTCTAGCTAAGATTTGTCATTCTGTAATTTATATCATGGAAAAAACTATTTCTTCCTCTTTAGTTTTCCAAATATAAAATTAAGTCATAATAGTGAATATGCTTTTTCAAAAAGCATGCCCTAGCCCCTAGTGAGAGTCTGACAAGTTACTCCCTACCCCACCTGCAGAAATCCACAGGGCAGATTTTGTAAACTGGCCATCCACGTTCTGACCTGGCTCACAGAACTGTTTGTTTGGCCTACTGGTGTATTATCCAGTATTTCTACAATAAATACGTATATTACAACTCTTATCAGAAAACCCCAATATTTTAAAAAATCTTTTTCAATTACTAGTTAATAATGTGGGAAAACACCAATGATATAAATTAAGTGAGCAAAAGAAGATACAAAACAATATATTATTTGGTTCCAATGGTGTGGGAAATGTATGTATAGGATGCATAGGAAAAATACAGGAAGGATATACATAACAATGTGAGGGTGGTTATCTCTGGATGGAAATTTGCTTTACAGTTTTTAGATTTTCTCACTTTAGTGAACATGTATTGGTTTTGTAATCAGAAAAAAAAAGGCACATATAAAAGATTAAAATAAGGTTTTCTGTTTGTTTTTTTAAGACATTTTAGATAAGTGGATGTTTCTGGTATAGCATCCACTTCTGGTGGAGCCTCCTGGTGTGATGCACTCTCCCAGGGCTCTCTGTCCTACACATCCTGCTAGGCCAAGCCTAAAGGCACTGGCCGTGACTCACCCTGGGTCTCTGCCCTTGCCAACGTCTGCTTCTGTCCCCCACCCTAGTGCTCCTCCTCCTTGCCCAAACAGCTCTACATAGGAGTCCATCCTTCAGTGCAGCATTCTAATTAAGAGCATGGCCTGTGGAGATGGTTCAAGTCCTAGGTTCAGCGCTTCCTGGCTATGTGACTTTAGGTAAGTCACTTAATCTTCCAGAGCCTCAGCTTCCTCAGCTTAAAATGGAATAATCCTGGTCCCCCTCCTTCATGTTGTTACAGAGATGAAATGAGATGTTTTTATGAATAGTGTAGCACAGAACATGGGACAAAATAAGTGCTCAAATCATGTTATTATCATTATTCCTTCAATGTTTTTTGAACAAAATGTATAGAGCACTTGCCACGTGCCAAATGCTGTGCTGGGTGCCGGGTGAAGAGAGATGAACAAGCAGGCACAGCTCCTGTGCCCATGGAACTCCCATTCCAGTGGGAGAGACAGACTTTAATGAAGCATCGGACATAAAACCGTGTAAGTACAAACTGTGGTGAGTGCTACTAAGGGCCACTGTCCTGCACGGCTCTTTAAAATGAGCATGTTTCAGTGGGGGAACTCAGACTCTGAAAGGCATGGTGAGTTACTCCACGTCACGCAACCAGAGAGTGACAGAACTGGAGTTCTCTGAGTGTGAAAGGGAAACTTGGTCAGAAGTGAGGCCACAACGGGTCTTTGTGACAGTGAAGATGGAGTGAAGACCTGAAGGCCAAGGGAGTAGAGTGGTGCCTGGGAAGTGGGGTATAACCATTCCAGGCAGAAGGAATAGATTGTGTGAAGGAACAGCATTTCTGAAGTGAAAGCTTAATCTGCGAGCCTGGTGTAACAACATATGTGACAGCATTTAGCCTGATACCTGGCACACAGCAGCCCCTCAGAAAAGGTTGATTCTCCTCACTTATCTCTATGCAAGGAGCTTTGTCCCCATCAGGCATTGTCCCTGAGTGAAACAGGCCCAAGACAGCACAGTGCTGGCCTAGGCCTGACACTTCAGAATCCACCTCTCAAAAGATTCTCTGTGGAGAACCAGAAATCCCACAATACCAAGAGGCCCCCAAGGGAGCTTATCAAGATTTCCTAACTTCTAACCTGTGATTTGCCTCCAAACTCTCTAGACCTGATGAAAGTATATACAGATATTTTTTTGAGACCCTACCTACCAGATGCAGTTCCGCACATTATCCCTATCAGTCCTCACCACTATCTCATGTGGCTCTGTAAAGTGGGCACTTTTCATAGCGGGAGAACACCGAGGCTCTGAGAAGTGGAGCGAGTTATTTAAGGTTGCACAGCCAGGGGTGACAGTAATGGGATTCCTCCTTGGGCTATATGACTCCAAAACCAGATCCCCTGACCACTAGCAGTACTGCCTCCAAAGTTCACCTTTGTTCTACTCTTAGAGCTGCCAGCACGTGGACTCAGCCTCCAGCCAAATGGCTCTTGGGGTTGCAGTCCCCACGAGTCTAATATGACCCCTGAGAGAATGAGTCTGACAATTCTGCCCCCACCCCAAACATCTGAATAGCGGTCCCAGGCCAGGCACAGGGGAGACTGGGGTGGCTAGGATTGGCTCCACAACCTCCCACTCTCGCTGGGCCATGTCCAGAGCCTGGCTCTGGATCTGGGAGAAAGCTGGATTCTTTCCTTTCTTTCCTTTCCCTAGCTCTCTCAGGTCAAATATGTCTGGGACTGGAAGTAGAACAGAATTTATGTCTCAAGAGAAACCATATTTGTGTGAAGACAAAAGAAGCCTAGAAGAATTAGAGACAGAAAGGGCCATCCATCAGTCACTTCATTGTCTCCAAAGGTGATTCAGGATATGCACTAGAGGCAGAAGGGGCAGGGCATGCTGGCAGAATGGATGTAAGGCAAGGAAAAGAGGAATCAGGAATGACTCCTGAGGTTTTGGACCAGTCAACTAAGTGGGTGGTGCCCTTCAGTGACAGTGGGGATGGCTGCCTGAATGTTCAGTGTGGAATACTTTTTGGATGGTAGGAGGAGATGTGAGTAGGTAGAGGGAAGTCTGGACTTCAAGGGAGCCATCAGGGCTGGGAATATGGACTTGGGAGCCAACATCCTAAAGATGGGATTCAAGGCCTGGTGACAGGCTTGGATCATCATCTGGAAAAAGGGTAGATGGAGAAATGGTCTTGCTCTATGATGGCTTGTTAAACTCCACAGATGTTTTGTACACTTTTCTACATGCGTATTGTATTACATGATAGAGAAGAAAGCTGACAATAGAACCCTGGGGTTCTCAGCATATGAAGACAGGCAGGGAAGGAGCCAAAAAAGAAGCCAAGGAGGAGCAGCCAGGGAGGCTAGAGGAAAACCAGAAGCTTGTGAAGCCAGGAGGCATGAGCAGGTCAGAGAGGCAGGGAGAGACCACCTGTGCCAAAAGTGAGAGGCCAGGTAAGAAGAAGAGGCTCAACTCTGGATCTGGCAGCCTGAAGTCTGGTGAGATAATGAGGACAGCTTGGGAGCAGCCAGATTTCAGTGCATGAGGCAGGAATTGGATAAAATCATTGTGAGGAGGTACATGAGCTCCAGCTACCCCACGTGTCACTGCTGCAGCTAGGAACAATTTTCTTCAAAGTACCTGGTGGTGAACTTAACCCAGGAGAAGATGAAGGACTAAAATGCTGACAGAGCTACTAGTCATCAAGATCAAGTCCTGCCAGACAGGGTCATTGCTAATTGCATTGGTAACTGGTAGAGACCAAATTTTGAACCTCCTCAGTATCCATTTTTTCCTGTACATATTACAAAGCCCTAAGGAACATAAGTTGTTTTTGGTTCAACTTCGAGAGGAAGCCTTGTTTATAGTCCCTAAAAATTACAAGCTGGTAGTTCTATCATTGTTTGAATTGTATGACAATGCACCAGGCTATGGATCCATCCTTTCTTGTCTCCAGCTTCTGAACAGGTTCAGTTTTATATACAGCTGAATTCTGTGCACTGGTGAAACAAGCACACAGCCATACACAGTGTAGAATAAACATGGTAGAAAAGTCTTTGGGGGTTT